TAAGGCGAAACCAGGGCTAGCTCATAACATCCAATCTGTAGTCTCAATGAACTTATGATATGCCATTATAACCCCCTCGTACGAGGCATTTATATCAACAATCAATCAAACAGGAGTATTGTATTACCTTCATTGTGAGGGCCTGAACCTGGATAAAAGCTTCGTGTGGCTTCCCGTCTGCACTTTTGGCTACACGCGACACCTATCGACACTACTGCCAGTATCATGCATCTACGTAGTTCAACTCAAAATCATACACAGCTCAATTTAAAATCATATACTACAAAAAATGTTTATACACATTTTAATTCAAAACCATAGAATGCAAATAATAATCTTACACAATTCAATTCAAAATCCGGAAACACTACAAGACATGCATATTAGAAAATTACATCATCATGACCATGATCCCAAAGGTAAGGCATCGACGGTACTTCACCACCCTCTTTTATTGATCTGGCCACGATAGGCACAATATCGTCAACTCAATTATAACTGTCCTCATCGACTATACCTTCTATGGTAATTCTTTTTAGTGCATTACCATGTGTCGATTTTCAATTTCGTATGGTTGATGTAGAAAACTTTATGAACAAATTGAGCAAATATGAATGGATCATTCTTGCAGGCAACCATGTTGATATTGAAATTATATGGCCATTATCTTTTGACTCAATTTATGCTAATCCACTCACATCGGAACAATGGAGTTGTAGAGTCCACATAGTCCAGCTCCCATATCTTATCTAAGTACCCATGGTATATATGTTTGTTTTTCTTATTTTCTAGTAGAACTTGTAGGGTAACGCCTGAATTCTGATCTTTGACCTATCATCATTTCTTTCATAGCAAGCTTGTAACCATTGATTACCTAGCCTTCCTTTCGTCCAACTTGTCAATTTTTTTTCTCGAATACGCACGAGTGTGCGTATCATTTTATAAAGAAGAAGGGGAAAAGACTCCCATCCGCATAGGTACATAATATTTACATGCCCCGGGCATCCACCTCCACTTGGGGTAACTACATGTTCGACTACTCACCCAAACCCCACCTTGCGAGCCCCGCAAACACTCCATCCAAATCCCCTTTCAAGAGCCCTGCTTGCCTCCATGCACGCCCTTCCCTCTCGATCCGTCCGAGTACTTGCGCTTTGGAGGGGCTTGCGCCATTGAAGACGATGTCGTTCCTGTGCTTCCAAATCACCCACATGCCCAGCAAGCATAAGGCTCGCGTGGTCCGCCGTTGGTCTCGTCGTTGTTCCTGCCTTAAGCACCATGAGGCGAGGCTATCGTCATTGCCAGGCTCCATCTCCGGCTGGTTTGTGGCTACGCTCATCCAATGCCACACTTCCTTCGAAAAGGCACAACTCACCATTAGATGATTCATAGTTTCCTCTTGTTGATCGCAGAAAGGGCACACGTCCTGGTGCGGCAGCCCGCGCTTGGCAAGTCTGTCGGAGGTCCAGCACCGATTATTGAGTGCAAGCCATGCAAAGAAACGACATGTCAGAGGTGCTCTCGATCCCCAAGTGAATGCAGCCGTAGGCGCCACCTCAAGTCCCGCAAACCTTGCCGCGTACGCTGAACGCACAGAGAACGCGCCATCCTTCTCCCATGCCCAGCTAACCGAGTCCGGCGTGTCTGGCTCCAACTGGACCGTCTCTACTCTCGACCAAAGTCGCAGAAATTGCTGTAATGCTGCCTCAGTAATGTCGGGCCCAATGTCTCCTGCCCATGCTGCATCCTCCACGGCTGCCTCAACTGTGCGCGTCCGCCTTATCCGTTTGGGAACCCTGTCATATATCAGCGGTGCGAGCTCACAGATGCGGAATCCCTGCAGCCAGCGATCCTCCCAAAATAGTGTATCCTCCCCGTTGCCGACCACAGCTCGCGCCGCTGCGTGGAACACTGCCATCGAGTCCTTAGGCACTGAAATGGGTGATCCTGACCATGGCCTCAGCTTGTCTGACCTTTGAAGCCACGGCCACCTCGCTTGCAAGGCTATGTTGAGCCAACGTAGGTTTGGAATGTCTAAACCGCCAGCCCACTTCGGCCGGCAAACCATGTCCCAAGCCACTGAGCAGTTCCCTCCATTGGCCTCCTTCTTGCCACACCACAGAAAGCCTCGGCAGATACGCGCCATCGCTGATAAGGTCTTGGGTGGTATATCCAATGCGAGCATGGCATGGATAGGGACCGCACAGAGCACTGATAGATCAGTAAGATCTCGATCAATTCCTCGAACATCGCAGAAGCATTCACTGAACCAACTATATATAGAACTTGGTAGCATGTAATTTCTCCACATAGCATCGGGTTGGATACTAGCACAACAAATTTTCTTGTGATCTCCTATTTAAATCCCCACCTTCTTCATGTGTTTCAATGCACTATAATAGGTCTGTTCAAATTCTTTCCAATATTGTGTGATATTGACCTTTCCAGTTATTTTGAAGACACCCTTCCAGTCATCACATTGGTGCCCAGTGAACATACACTTTGCGAATAAACCCAGGGTTACCTCATGTAATAGAAAATTATTAGAGGGATTTTTGTATCGCAGGCAGTTGCTTCCATTGAACCGCCTCTGATGTTCAACATTTCATGCAACTTAGTTACTTTGGGTCAAAAATGTCTCTAATGGATGCATCTAACGTCCGGTGGCTCTACGGCTTGTGTGGAAACAATGGTGGTGGCAAGATTGTGGCATGTATTTCATCATTGACCGTTTGACATGTCCCTAAGCATAAAGTTCGAGATGGGGCAACCTGGCAAGAACGATGCCATGCGCAATGGGTAGTTTGGGCTATGTTGGTGCAAGGCGTGCTTCTTTCTCACGCGGGGAGCGTTGTTGAAGTTGGAGTTGCCTAGTCCTCAACGTGTTGGCTGATTGTTTGGCATAGATCTACAACGTTCTCGTGTGTTGTTTGTTCGGAGTGCTTTTGGTTGGTCATCTGTGGTGGACTTGGAGTCGCTTGTTCGGTAAGAAGTAACCACAATGACACTTTGCATTGGCATTATGCGGCGATGAGTGTGCGTCTTGTGCTAGGTAGCCAGATCAACCGTGATGCTACTTCTTACGGGTGAGTTGTAACGGTTTTTAGCCGATTTCAAATTAACCGGACATCTCTCTCCTATGTTTTTAATGAATCTATTCCTAAGGTCTGGCTTAAGAAAAATTATACGTAAATAAAAAGCCAACACTTTCGTTCATGGTGTTATTAGCTCCGTACACAGGTTCCTTGCTTGTTTCCCTCTCTACTTTTTTTACTTCTTTTTTATACCTGTGCAGTTACCCTTTGTTAATCAGTTTGTACAACACAATAAAGATCCTCCACTTCACAGAACTTGATCAGAAATACATAAATAATAGAACAAGAAGATGTTTTCTTTCTCCAACACGGAAGATATGTTAAGCTAGAGAATCCAAGCTACACGAGTTAACTGAAGGCAGATGTACTCCAGCACCCTGCACAGTGCACGCTACCACATCACCACAGCCTAAATAATGATCCATAGCGCTTCCCGAATTAATGGGCACTCCACAGACTGAATGCAGAAGATTTCTTCACCCAATGTTAGTAGACCGAGTGATTGTTCGCACGAGCGAACGAGCTCCTTGCAGAGACAATACTACGATAATAAAGTAAATCGCGCCTAATTTTCCCTGAGACCAATTCAAAGAGGACGTCCATCCACTGACTGGGCATGTTGTAGGCCTACAAGCCAGAAACAAGGTGGCAAATGTGAGCAGCTTGCATTGCGTTCTGAGTTCTGAGAAATGAACCGATGGATAGATAGGGAGGGGCAAAATGTACGTTACCTCGGATGGAGACGCCTCCTCATCTCGTATCTTCTCCAGGCTCCTGACAAGATATTTTGGGGCCGAACCAAGCTGGCTGGACATCAATCGCAAGATTAGCTAGAAATCAAATCAAGATAAATCACAAGGCGGCTCGTTTGAGTCGGGGAGAGAGAGAGGGGGGGAGAGAGGCATACGGCTCGTGGTCGTCGCAGTCGAGATGGACGTGGCTGTCGTGCACCCCGTCCTCGCAGACGTAGTGCGTTGAGATCGTGATCATCTCCCCCGGCGGCGAGTCGGCAGCCGGGAACTGGACGGTCATGGTCACCTTCCTGCCGAACTTCCCTCCGGACGGATCGGCAGCCACGAGGCCGGGGATGATGAGCAGAAATAAGAAGACGGAGAGGAGGGTGAGCCGAGCCATGGCAGACTTCGGGCTGAGGAGCGCACAGAACCTACCTGCTGCTTGCTACTTCAACTGCGTGAACGAAATGTGGCCGGTCAAGCACGCATATATGGTGGACAGGTAAGAGCAGAGCTGTGTGAACTGCTGCGAGTTACGTACTGTTGCCAGTATGGTTTTAGAGACATTGGGGCTGTGATATCCCAGCCCCAGGCCAGGCCTCTGTCTTAACCCCTGGAAAATAAAAAGGAGAAATGAACTATAGATTTCTAATGTAGAATAGCTGAGTTCTTGTTTCCGCGTGCAACTTCGTGTGGGCACTCACGCAGTGTGTGCCACTCAACTGTCAATCTGATCTCCTCGGCCGTAGTGTCAGTGCAGGCTGTAGGATTATTATTTTTTTCGAAAAGAGAGATCTTCCCGGCCTCTGCATCACAGCGATGCATACGGCCATCTTATTAAATCAAACAAAAAGGTTCCAACAAAGTCTCAAAGTCTCGAACTGAAAAATAAAAGAAAAAAGCTCACACAGAGCCAAACTGGGCTAGAAACACAAACTAGCCAAAAAAAGGACGCCACAAGCGGCTGGCTAAAGAGAGATAGGTAAACTAATTTCCTATCCTATTACAAGACCGCCATTCAAACCGGTTGAAGATATCCCGAACTACCATCTCCCAGCGGATAGATCCGGTAACCAAATGCTCTCTGGCCTCCATCTGAGTGAGTAGCGACCACGAACGGATCAGTACCGTGGATCGGAAGATAACCTGCAAAAAATAAATACGTGATGTTTTGTTAAAAACCAAATCATTTCTGCAAGTCCAGATAGTCCACAGCAAAGCGCATACTCCTACACGAATATGTCTCGCTAAGTCGGGCTCAATCCCATTAAGCCACGTCCCAAATAACGTGTTGACAGAATTCGGTGGAGTAATATTAAAAGCAATGTGGACCGTCCGCCAAAGAACTTTGTCTAGCAGGCAATCAAGAAATAGGTGCTTGATCGTCTCATCCCGATCACAGAAACTACACCTAGTAGGTCCAAATCACATAAACACTTTAATTTTCAATGGAACTTTGACAGCCCAAACATGCTTGGAGGTAGGAATGAAGCTCGAATTGATAACATCAATATACATTGATTTAACTGTGAATACTCCAGACCTAGTAAGCTTCCAACGTAATTCATCTGGTTGTTGAGAAAAGCCATTCTTTCCAACGATTGTCCGCTAGCGACCGTCTGAACTGAATATTAAGGGGGGTCGATTGAAAAACCGTTGCAACGAACACCTCTCGTCGTTGAACAATGCGATATAAAGACGGGTATTGAATGGCCAAGGATTCCTCTCTGAGCCAAGTATCCTCCCAGAACCGTGTACTAGCCCCGTTGCCAATACTAAACTTTGTCCTATTAAATAAGGATTGTTTGACTTTCAGCAGTCCTTTCCAGAAAGGCGAATCGGTCGGCCTGACTGTCACCTGGAACAAAGTTTTAGTCTGAAGGTACTTGCTATGAAGGATTTGCGCCCACGTGGCATCCGTCTCACTGGACAGCTTCCACAGCCACTTACTGAGAAGGCATCTGTTCTTAACTTCAAGATTCTCAATACCAAGACCCCCTTGATCTTTCGGTCTATAGATGATATCCCATTTGGCTAGGCGGTATTTTCCTTTTAGTTCATCACCCTGCCAGAAGAAACGCGATCGATAGAAGTCCAGTCTTTTCCTGACTCCAACTGGGACTTCAAAGAACAATAGGAGAAACATAGGCATACTCGTGAGCATCAAATTTATGAGAATTAATCGGCCTCTGTATGAACTGAGCTTGCCTTTCCAGCAACTCAGTTTCTTTTCAAATCGGTCTTCGATGCATTTTCATTCTTTGTTTGTTAGCTTACGGTGGTGGATTGGTATACCTAGGTAAGAAAAAGGTAAAGTCCCCAAATCGCACCCAAACAATTGCCTAAAAGCCTCTTGTTCATCCTTGGCTCTACCAAAGCAGAACAACTCGCTCTTGTGAAAGTTAATCTTTAAGCCAGTCAATTGTTCGAAGAGGCATAACACCAGCTTCATATTTCTCGCCTTAGCCAAGTCATACTCCATAAAGATGATTGTATCATCAGCGTACTGAAGGATGGATACACCTCCATCAACAAGATGAGGTACCAAGCCACCTACTTGACCATTCTCCTTAGCCCTTCCTATCATGATTTCTAACACATCAACCACAATGTTAAACAGGATAGGGGACATCGAATCTCCTTGCCTTAGGCCTTTATGTGTCTGGAAGTAATGACCAATATCGTCATTCATTTTAATTCCAACACTCCCTTTTTGCGTAAACGATTCAACCTGGTGGCGCCAAGCTTTCTCAAAACCTTTCATACGCAATGCCTATTGAAGGAATGGCCATTTGACTTTATCGTATGCTTTCTTGAAATCGACCTTAAAAACTGCACCATCTAGTTTTTTTAATGGATTTCATGGAGCGTTTCATGAAGGACGACCACCCCTCCAAGGATGTTTCTGTCCGGCATGAAAGCGGTTTGGGACTGTTGCACCACAAAATGCGCAATCTGTGTGAGCCTATTAGTCCCGACCTTTGTGAAGATTTTGAAACTCACATTGAGAAGTCAGATCGGCCTGAACTGCTCTATTCTCACAACATCCGTTTTCTTAGGAAGCAGTGTGATTATTCCAAAATTCAAGTGAAATAATTGAAGCTGTCCAGAGAACAGATCATGAAAGGTAACAAATCCCCCTTAATAATGTGCCAGCGCTTTTTGTAAAACTCGACCGGGAATCCATCCGGTTCAGGAGCCTTATTGATTTTCATTTGTGCAATAGTATCAAACACCTCCTTCTCAGTGAACGGGGCAACCAGAATATCATTATCAGCAGCCGATCCCCTTGATTCTTGACTCAAGAGTTTCCTAAATCGTTTCTTTTTCTCTGCCAAGGTGACGGCCATGAGGGAGGAATGAAAGGTCCTTCTCATGTGTTCTCATCCATCGGTGCACATGATTTGCTCCCTCCCTTCCTAAATATATGTCTTTTTAGACATTCCAATGCGGACTACATATAAAACAAAATGAGTGAATCTACATTCTAAAATATGTCTACAAATCCTTACGTAGTTCGTATTGAAATCTCTAAAAAGACATATATCTATTTAGGAATGGAGTGAGTACATTGAAACAGAAAGGTCACTTCCAGTCTCTCTTCCTCTCTCTGACATCCAGAGACAAGGCCCTTCATCAATCACAAAGGAAAGAAAGAAAAAAGAGGGGTTGAAGAAAGTAGTGCTATTTTGGTCGCTGGATTTGGTCTAGCGTCGCAATTAGTTAGTTAGTGGCCACTGCACGTACGTACTACTCCTAGTACGGTAGCAGGAAGAACGAACGAATGAATGATCCACGACGCCAGCAGCCAGCCAGCCAGCCGTGGCTCTCACGCAGCGTAGGAACCGGGAAGAACCAAGTGTGCAGTCAGTCCAAGGCTCGCATTTCCACCGGGGAGAATCAAGTGTGCAGTCAAACCCGCCGCTGCAGATCATGGTGTACCCACAGCCCGCATTTCTCCACGCCACGCAACCTCGGACGCCTACCGTCGTTGCTCCCACACCCGCGTGTTGATGGCCTCCCTACCGGCATTGAACTGGAAAGATGTGCTGGCATATACGCTGCCGCGAAGTTTGCAACTGTTTGACGGCGACAACGGTTCTAGCTCACGACGGAGAAACCGTGCAGGAAGTACTTCACCTGCGACCAACGAGGAGCACACTTCCTGCCGGCGAGGAGTTCTCTCGTAAGCAGGCGCCGTTTAATTAGTTCACTCATTAGCACTTATGATTAGAGATTATTTGGATTCATCACATGGCTAGTTTCATGTCTCACTGCCTGCGACAAGGACGGCCCGCCGATGCTTGGCTCGCTTGGCCATGGCCGTCGTGCCGGCCGCCGGATATACATGAATAAATCAGATAAATGCATAAGCTGGATAGGAGCCGATTGGAATATGCTCTAGCTCGATGACTCGTGCAGAGGGCATCCGGGCTGACTCCGTGGGATGATGCGGTTGTCGTTGATGGGATCTGGTATGCGCTGATCGACGTTTGGAGAGGGGATCCACATCTTTTTCCCATAAAAAATGGCGAGGTTATGAATAAATTGACAAAATGCAAGGAAATCAGCTAACCAAACAAAGATACGGCACCAGGATTTTATACCACGTTCAAATAATGTAGAGAAAATGAGTACATCTTTTTAGTTATGGACAATGAACAATAGGTGAACAAATAAATATGTAAAATATAAATCTGATGAATAAAATGGCGCGGCGGTTGCTATTCTAGTGCGTTGGTCTTAGCACTACGACTTCCCGACTATCTAATATAACAAGGTTTATCCGGCTCCGGCGAGGAAGGGGCGATGACAGCAGCGCGGCTTCGGCTCGCTTCAGTGCTTGTAGTCGTCGTTAGGTGGTCTGCGAATTTATATATAATTTTTATTATTTACAGTGTTTGTTGTACTACCATAATTGAAGATGAATAGATTGAAAGTTTTCCAACAAAAATGCCAAAAGAATGCATATAGCCAGTATTAGTATTAGGTCAAGGACTTCATTGTTTTTCTCACATTTGCATGCTTATTTGTTAACAAAAAATAGACTAATTAAGTTTTCATTTCTACACGCTGCATTTGTTCATCAGTGTTGGCCGGTGGAGGAGCGCACACGGGGTCACAGGCAGGACACTTGCTCTTGCACTCATCATCCGAAAAGAAGCACGGTTCACCCTTTAGATTCCGTCAGCAAAAACAGGTTTCGAGATCGGGGTCCTTCCCGCGGGTACATTGGCTCTTGACGCAGAATTTTACAGTAAGCTTGCCCTCGTCCAATGAGGTTGCGTTGACGGCCACCATTGTAGCTCCGGCACGATCCACTTTTTTTAGAGAAAAGGCGTTAGCCCGATTTTATAGATAAAGCCACCAGGCAGAGTTATACCACAGTACCACACAGCT